CAATCACAGGCCGTATTCTTTCTTGCACTCCTTATACATCGACGTTCAAACAGTATCTGAATTAAATTTACAGCTTGTGGTTTGCATAATATGAACACATATGAACACGTGCTACACATCTGTTGCTAATAGATACTAAACCAAAATTTCTTTGCGTACTTATAATTGACAGTTTTTTTGTTATCTAGGTTGATTACTAAAATGACTTAAACCACACTTATGATTTAACAAAAATGTTCAAAAAACACGAATTTCTCTCTCCGACAGTTTCAGATGTTTTAAGAAATTGTCCCTTTTGCCTTGTTAAACCGGCTACTATATATTTGGCTGTTTGTTGAAGTTATATTTGATTTAATTGAACTCCCGAGGTATCGATCGTTGATTGGCGTTGAGCCGAAGTTGTGTTTACATAGGGATTGTTATTATTGCTTTTTGACACTTGCGACGATTTTATCTGCGTTTTGGTATTGTAGTCCATATCTAACGCTACTAGACGTGGTATTTTACATAGTTGTAGTAGACTTGAATTTATCTCGCCGTCGTTCGCCTGTGCTTATCCAGAACCGAAGTTAAATTTCAATAAAATTTTAACGAAAAAACACTATATTCATAAATCGTTCACTCAGAATTCTATTGTTAAGTAATTATAATTTGATTCATCGTATTGTTCCGTATTCGTCTACACAATCAATCTTCGAGTTGTGTTGCCATTAGCGGCTTGATTTTCAATGTCGCAGTTTAGCAATCCCAAAGGACCCTAAGGCTACGTTCWCACGGGKCCGGTTCCGTTCGGAACCGTTCTAGTTTAGGCGCGCGTTCACACTGGAACTCTGTAACTGGCCYCATCTGAGGCTGGCAAAGTGTTCAGGTTTGGGACCGGTTAMAAAGCCGTTYCACTTTGAGGACAGGTCACTTCGAAGCATGAACGGATCCGTGTGAACACTGCTTCAATCCGTACTGAAATGTGGACGGTTCCGTATGAACAGTGGGAACTGTCCTAAAACCGAGGTGTCCTCAAACCCCCGGAGGGGGGGGGGTGGTACTCCCCTATATTCGCTATACGGGGACGTGCCGCCAACCAGGGTATCGTTTTCAGCAATTTTACTCTGGAACAGGCTATCGTTTTTAGCGATTTTACTCTGGAACAGGGTATCAATTTCACCGATTTTTCTCTGGAACAGGGTCAGCGTTTAATTCCGGAATTATCGATGATGGGTAAAAATTCACGGGGTAAAAATTCGGTCTACACGCAGGCTAGTGCTGTAGTATTTTACTGTGGAACAGGGTATCGTTTTCAGCGATTTTACTCTGGAACAGGGTATAGTTTTCAGCGATTTCACTCTGGAACAGTGTCAGGGTTTTGAGGTCCCAGCGTCACAGCCCCACCAAAGTTTGGAGGTTGTGCCCCCCCGTCCCAACCCATCACGGGCCTCAAACTTGACCGACCCAGTGTGAACGTAGTCTAAGGTTCCAAGGATCCAAGGTTCGATCCTCGACTCGAGCACGTCTGAGAAAGTATTTCTTTTTGCTTTCTTTCTTTTTTTAACTGAATTATAGTTGTTCTAGTCATGTTAGATTTTTATCGTAGCAATTTGTTTCATTTAATATTTACCAGCCGTTTGCCAGAAACAAGATGGCATTCGACAAGCGGCATCGAACRGAGGATCGCAGGTTCTGATCTCGTCTCGAGCATTTATTTTTTTCTCTTTCTYCCTTTTTAACTGAATATAGTTGCTATGGTCATGTTGACTCTGTAGATATTTAATTATTATTTTCGAGCCATTATTTTTATTTTATACAGAAYATTATACTCAAATAGCATTGAAGTTAGGATCGCGGGTTGGATTCATCTCTTCTGAACAATTCTTTTTTTCTTTTTTTACTGAAATGCAACTTATACTAGTCATGTTTATTTTTTCCTGTAAATTTTTGTTTTTTTATGCATTTACACGCAAGATTGCAAGATCGCAAGATCGAGTAATGGCGTTGAACTATATAAACGAGCGAGGAAAGAAAGTAATTTAGAATTTAGAATAAAAAATAAATAAAAAGAATTAAAACTAAGGAAATACAAAATAAGTAATAAACACCTTTCCCAATGAAAACAGCTCCGAAAGACATTGCCCCAGGGGCAGATCCAGGAATTTTCGGAGGGGGGTGACTGTGATCAAATATAATTTAATATAATATTCAAGTAGTGGAAATAGGTTCGCGTGATATGCGATCACTGTTTTAAAACAACAGATAACAAATCTAAATGCGCTATTCTTCGGGGATGCAGCATCATAAACTTCTTGCAAATTTCCTCAGTAATCAAATGAACAACATGATTATTTATCGCCAAAACGGCTAAATTTGCGGAGCCTTTCAGTAGACTCTTCGYACACACGAAAACGACCTCTCTGCTTCTGTACTCCCCATGGGTAAAATGCCTATAATCTTCAGAAGCTCCCTCACGTTAAGAAAAAGATAGCTTTGTGCCAGCGAATCAATTCATTTTTAAACACTGGTAAAATTGTCATCAGATGACCCTATTTCGTGAGAAGAGTTTTGCTGAGGTTAACGACCTCTTCCGTCGTTTAATTACTGAGTTACAGATGAAATATTTAATTTGAAAAAAGAATTTTTGGAAAGAGCATGCCAGTTCCAGGGCTGGTTTTCTTTGCTTGGTGCTCGTATGTTTTCATTCAGATTGCTTGATGTCATGTGCTATGACGGATTGGTCTTCTTGACAATGAAAGTTAAAATCAAATATATTTCATTTTTGAAGGATAAAAATTAAATTTATTGACTTTTCAAAACTACTTCCAATCCGGGTTCACTCATATTTAGCCAGTTTTAATTACCTTTTTGGGAGAGGCTGGCTAAAAAAGGAAAACAGTTTTTTTTCCTTTGGCATAATCGTAGGGTGAATCTTCCGTTAAGTATTTGTGTCTAGATCTTGGTCAAGATATGGAAACGCGTTTATAACTGATACATAGAAAGCCCCGAAAGGCGGGATAGCAGAAAAGGCAGTAAAGCAGATATGGGGCAGAGAGCCGTGATACACGTTCCGCGCGAAAAATTAGACAGCTTGAATGAAAAATGATATAAAAAYTGAAAAGAAACAAAAAATCTAAAAATCTGATGTCAAGATCAAACTAAACATTCAAAAAGGAGGGTGTCACCACCCCCAAATCCGCCCCTGTTGCCCATATAGCCATTGCTGGATAAATACCTTGAGCAATAGACCCTCTGTCAACACCGAAGGGATTGCCAGCAATTGCACCACTAATAAAAGTATATAACAGGAAAGTCAATTCATTAAATTTTAGCCTGTTCCATTGAACTGTTGGTCGAGGGAAAAWKGACCCAGAAGAACTTGTATGCACATACGTTGGATATATGTTAGRAGGAGCAGCCGTGTACCTGTGAGAAATATATCTGTTCTTATGTCCAGAACAGCTGTAAGTCACAACTGGTTGCCAGCCAGAATTTAATTTGATATTAAAACGTTATCAGTGTTATCAAACGTTAAATCCGAAATCGAGTGACGATAACAGAAGAAAACGTCAGCTTTTGAAGACTAAAGCTGTGCAATTAATATTGTTTGAAGCATCTACGTTACGATCAGCAGCAAAGAAACTTATGTGCTCATCGGTATGATAGATAGATTAGCAGCATTCTAAAGAAAGAATTCAAACAATCTTGAATGATTATGCAAATCTTTATGTGTGAGCACAAGATACATAACACAAATCAAGCTAATTTTCTTCATGTTCCCCATTTTTAAAAGAATTTTAGCAATACATATTCGAAATATATAAAATGTGCGTTTCAAATCAGTTGCATTTTGTTTCAAACAAAGTTGGCGGTCGAGATTAGATTTCAGTTGAATAAAATTAGGAGAAAAACTTTACATGATTTCAAAATTTGCGAGAGTTAATAATAGTTGAGAATATAGGTMCCAGACCATTATTTAGTATAAATTTAACACCGTAAAAAAGTAGGTGAAACAACTTACTTTTGTTTCGAAAGTTAATCCTTGCTTTATTTGTTWATTTCTCTTTACCATGCCTCGGTACCTTGCTCCCATTGGTCTACTTTCTTTGCTACACTCTCATTCTATAAACTCACACTTTACCTAGTTCCTCTCTTTACTCCAAGGAAGGATATTAAAACGTCCGAAACATCAGGAAGTTATTTCACCTACTTTTTTTAATAATCAATTCTAAATCAGTGAGATGCGAAAACTCTAGAGGTGTTTTATTTACAAGGAATTTAAAACAAATTCTAGGAATCGATTTCAAGTTAAGACGTCAGAGTCTGTTGGTCTCAAAAGAGCTAGCATGCACGAAAAACATAGCTATTGCTTCATATCTTTAACTCCCTGCGATCAAACTACGATACAATTTAAATGCTGAATTGGATAATTATAAGTAAATCACATCAATGACTTCTAGTTTATAGTCAAATGTCATTCACTGAATATGATAAAAAYAACGAAAAGCTACATTAGAGGAAAGTGCAACACGGCTACGAATTGTTTACTTTCTATCGCCGTCGTCGCGAATCAACTTTTATACGCGTTTTATTATAATAGTGTTCTGTTTTCGATACTTCTGTTGAAGATGAAGTACATCTCCTGAAGTACRGGACTTACATCTAATACTGAGAAATTTCCCATATGGTGGTTTGATTTGACAAGCATAGCTTTCAGTTTCMAATGGAAGTCGTGCTGGAGCTGAGTCAGAACATAGGTTTTCGCTGTAATCTTGGGAAATATACTGATAGAATATTTGCATTGATTCTTTKAGATGTCGATTAAAACTTGAAAATAAATCCTTTAAAGGACCTAATAAATCCTTAAAAGGACCTGCTGCTTCAGAAACTTTCTTGTCTTTAGGCTTCACAATCATAATGAAGTCGCAGAGATGTCAGAGATGTATTCGTTCAGCTATTTGCTTTCGGTCTCTTGGATTTCTTTGCTTAAGACTGTTTTTCTCTCATCGAGTAGCTTTTCATCACTCGCCGTTTTTAGCTGTTGAATTTTTGTTTTTCTCCTTTTCTCCTTTTTCTCTTTCTAAAATGCTTTGTCTCTAGTCATAAGCTTGAAGTTGTTAATTAAATTCCGTGGTACGTTTTCACAAATCTTTCCTGATTGGACGAAAATCTTTTCGCACGTGTGAGAAATTCGTTTCGCTCCTATGATTGGCTAGTTTTGACTTTTCAAACGGATTTTCAAATAGRAAAATATGTGAGAAAATCTCAGTATKTATATAATAAAGMGTTTTCCTCGATTTCCCCATAAAAGGCATAAATTACATCCGATTTTCACAAAATTTACTCAATATGAATTTGAATCCCTTGGTAATCATTTCGTAAAATATCATTACGATTGGACTAACTTAAATTACTTTTTTATCCGTTTCTTTCTTCCCGGTCGGAGTTATAAACAAGTTTATACAACTTTTCAGTAAAATCAGACGTTTTGATTGGTTGGCTTTCGTGTGTTATCAAAGTATAGATACACGGATTACGTCAAAACTAATTGTTTGTTGTATAAAACAGATAGATCTCATTTTTCCGTGCGTGTGTACTCTAATAGATACACAGATGACGTCAAAATGTAGTGAGAACAACAGTCACGCACTCGACTGCGTCTCGTGCGTACTTTTTTGTTCTCACTACATTTTGACGTCATCTGTGTATCTATTAGAGTAAACACGCACGGAAAAATGAGATCTATTTGTTAAGTATCCAGATACCTTAATGCTACAAAATAGCGGCAGTAATTCCTTGCAGTTTCTTATTGGATGATTGCATGCAAGTTCTTCAACGCGACCAACAATTCAACAGAGTAGGATAAAAGGGGTCTCGAACTGGACTAGGGACATTCACTTCGGAAACTACAGAATAACAATACTTTACACACTTACCAAACTTTATTACGAAGACCTGCAATTCTAGAACCGCGCTTCCTCACTGAGACCCCGTTAACAGTACTTACCTACCAAGTGGCAAAACGTTTACTCTGTGTAATAACTGATCCAGTCTTTCAACATCCCTTTGTAAAGCCCAAGCATAACTGACAGAAAAATCTTGACATTAGCATACAAACACGTGACCCAAGATAGTATTTTAAAGTGTTTYGCACCTGCATCGCTGAATAGTTACATGTTTTCACTGCATACTCATTACCTCATCACTCAGGTGTTAAGTTATGGGACGAAATYCGCGAATGCTGAGGTAATGGGCATGAAATGAAGCCATGGTTAGCGTTATGGATCAATGGATCACCGCCACCAGGGGAAGTGGGAGGGTCAAACTTCCAAGAGTTTCCTTCGGTCGATCCGTGTCGAGTGGCCCCGAGGTTGAACTGGGTGTTCCTTTTATTTCCCCGGCACGCAAGGGATGCCGGGATCAATATCCCGTTGGAATTTTGGTGGTTACGTAATTTTATAGTGATGAGCTAATTAATTATGCAGTTAAAATAGTCAGAACATACAATTAATTGTTAAATAGCTTCCACAAACTTTTTCGAAAAACATTTCTCTACAACGATGGACATCCAAAGTCAGAATATCACAARGACAGAATTCCAAGAAAATGTATCTCATAGTGCCATGCGGTCTTCATATTCATATCTATTCGTAGCTACTAAAAGTTGTAAAGCGGATAATTCGTATAAATAAGATCTTTTCGTAACGACACATATTCCTTGTATGCTGTCTTCATATTGTTAACTATGTTTGTCAGATTTGTTTGTAATTTATATTCTGACTGATGACCACAATTTCACTGTTCGTTCCAAATGCCAGTGTGGATAAATATTCTGACTGATTACCACCGAACACAGTGTCATTACGRTATACTTAAATGTTCCGACTGCGGACMACGGTGGAAATRATTTGTAAAGCTACATTGTATATCGAGTGACGGGGTACTCATGACCTAGCTGCGACGAACTATAGAATGCCCGGSCACAGAAAAGTTATAACTTTGTCGTGCTACCGCATTCCTCTAGTGCTCTCTACACCCTATGGGAGATGCTACTGTAAATCAATACGTTTTTCACCGGCATAATGTTGGCCCGTATAGTGAAAAACTGTCTTCACTCTTTTGAGTGGCCTTTGTCGATTAAGATCTTGCGCAGTTTTCCACTGTTTTAAAATAAAGAAGTTAAATAACACATGTCCTGTTACCTTAACAACCAGTGACTCCATCTGATGGGCTGAGCACGCTAAAAAAAGAAAATATTCAAGATTCGCACTCTTTTTTTTGAATTAGACATTAGCTGCATTAAGACGCGARCCAATAGGCAAAGACAATAGAAATACAAAATACATTGAATCTGATTGTTGGAGGGACCTCCATATATTGAAAGCTGGGCATGYTCGTCGACGATCTTTTAGGGGTGAAAATCAGGGATCGGGTATCTTTTGGCCCACCAG